TTCAGGAAGTCTGCCAAGAACCCTTGCAGTCAAATACCAAATGCAGTTCCTTTGGTATTTCTCGTTAGCAAAATGTCCCAGCCAGTATAGGATTCTGAAAAAACCCTGGGGGTTGATTATAGTTAGAAATAGTTCATATATTATGAAAAAGAATCAGCAGATTTCATTGTGTCCAAACTAATTACATTGTCAGGTGGTTAGGGCAATAGCTATTAATAAAGTAATTTTCTCTCAGTCAACTGACAAATAGATTCACCTTGTCCAAATCTTAAATGTCAATATTGGAAGGCCCTATTTTCACATGTACTGAGACACAGAGAACACATCCAGCTAGAGTAAAACATTGCCCCTGGGAAAAGGCACATAAAGGTCCAATTAGAACTGCCAGACAGACTCCTCTCAAGCCCATCCCGTCTCATCTGAGGGGAAGTGAGAGTGTTCCAGCTCAGGCTGTCCTCTACCTGACGACCCACACAAAATGGAACTAACTTAACTGAAGCTAGAGAATGAAAATCCACTTCCTAAGAAGCGTATTTAGTAGAGGCAGAATAAAAAGAGAATTGCTTGGGGAAAAAGGGAGACAATGAGAAGGAAAAGAATGAACTGATCATTCATTTGGCCCCAAAGAATGCAGTAAAGAAAATTCCTTTAGAGTGAGAAGCCCTCCTCGTTTTGCCTCACAGAGCAAAGCAAAAACATCCTTTTGAGTGACCCAAACAGAAAGGTTATTTTAAATATATGATTTGATCCGGAAGCTAAAGATTCCATTTATTCTTTATAGATATAAAGTAATAGACATTACTCAGAATCTAAGTTAATGAACATTCTCCCTCTCACCTGATTCTCCTTTTCTCGGGGTTTCATTTTCTCTCCTCAGAAATGTTACTTATTTCCCCTCTCTTTCTTGTGTGCAGATGAAAGCACATTCTTTTGCCTAACAGTACCAAATAAATATTTCCACTTCCTTTCCATGGGATAAAATTCATATTCATTTGTACTTTGCTAAAATGTCTGATGTCTTCAACTGCTCACTCTAAAAATAATTAGAATATAATCAGTATCAGCTGTTCTTGTTTATATGCACACATGACATCCAGAATATCTGGAATAGATATTCTGATAAAAAGTGAGAAGAAAAGAGGAGATGAGAGATCTAAAGCTGGATTTCACTTTTGACTATATAACTTACCTGTCAGGTGACCTAAGATATATTACGCCCTCTCTTAGCCTTAATTTCCTTATCTATAAAGTAAAGATAATGACACCAGCCCGGCTTTCTTCAGAGTATAAAGTTCAAGAGATCAAATACATAAAAGCACTAAGAACACCACAAAGGTTACAGGATGGAAGCCATTATTACTGATAATTTTATTTAGTCATATCTTCCCTTAAAAACACAGCTTGAGAACAACCCAGTCAAAACATTCCCCTCTACTTTGCCTCCAGCTTATAAGACATATCAAATCACCAGAACAAAATTACACTATATTTCAACAGGGAAACAAGTCAATCCTCTATTACACTTATTTCATTCTAAAACCTACTTTCAAAGGTGAACTGTAGATTTATTGAAGTTTCTTCCTCCAAAGCTAAATAGCAATGATTTATTTTTCCAGAAGCCTGCCTGAAAAATAACTCTTGTTTTCTTCTTACAGTCCTATATTCTATACATTAATTATCATAGGAAAAAAATTAGAACTTATAGCAATCATAGTTCATATTCTAAAAATACATGTTGCACATGATAAAAGTAGATATTAGAGTTTAGATTATTATATTCTACCCTAAAACTCAAAACCACCAAATTTTAATAGTGGGAAAGGAATATTAAGAGATTAAAATGTAGAATATCATTGGAAGGCTCCCTAAGAAACCTACCAATGAATAAAGTAGGTGACATGGGGACAGTGAGAAATAAAGACATATTTTTCATTGAATATCATTTTGTATTTTGAAACCTGAGCATGTACAGTTAAAAATATGTTAGTTTCTTAGTTCGTTGTAAATCACTGAAGGACTCCAAAGAAGCCCTCATTTTCCAGAGGAGAAAACTGAAGCCTAAGAAGCAGATGAGCTGCTCAAGATCACACTGCCAGAGAACGAAAAAGCTGGGAGTAGAACTCAAGAAGCCACCGGGCGCTTCCAGTGTTTTTCTCCCCCCTCACCACAATGCCTTGTGGTGAAACAGCATCTTATGAACAATAAAAAGTATTACTATAATCCTTTTCAGAACTGTGGTCTTCCCGAGGTCCTGGTAACACATGTGATAGAGTGCTAGTTGTTAATGCTTTCACAGAGGTCCCAGGGCAAAAGGACAGAGATGACAGTCCTCACCATCAAGCCCACACCAAGCATTAAGCAAGTGAATGGAGACAGCACGCCAACCAGCATGTGGATAATGTGCCTGAAAGTGGACTTAAGCTTTAACCAGGCCAGGAAGAGTTTACAGCTTTCATTATTACTAACAGGAAGGATCCCTGATGAGGCAGAATAGATTTAGTAGTTCAAAGAGTTTATTCCTAGTGAATTGACTCCGAGGAAATACAGCAAAAGCAGACTACAGGAGATTCCAGTTTGAAAGAAGCCTCAACATTCCACTGTGGAACTACTCTCGAACAGAAAACTAAGGGAATCATCAAGGCCCCGACTAGTCCTAAAATTCTCAAATAAGGAGAAGCAAGACAGTTTCAACTCCTCCTCTGATGACTTCAAGCATACTTTTCCGGCTGGTAAGAAGAAATGTTAACCTTCTCTCTCAATAGGTACAAATGCAGGGGAAACAGCAGAGTTTCCACAGCAAAGATAAGAGAAGTCAGAATTAAAAACTATGCCCAAAAATGTCTGAGTCTGTCTGCTTGGAACAAGGGATCCTGGAAGAAAGGAGGATTATTACACAGTTACTGTTTCCTTTCTACATGTGTATGTAGCCTTCACATTTCGAGAAATACATGTGTGTCAGACGTTATTAGGCCTTTACTGCAGTTTTTGCTGTTAGCCAAACATACTGTAGTCATTACTTTTTAGTTTACCTAAGGATTTTTAAGCACTGGGTAAGTCTGTTTGCCAACAATGCTGTTCTGATGGAATATTTGAAAAAGAGAGAACATGAGAGTGGATAACAAGCCTGGCCAAACCATGACTTCCAGGTTCATATTTCTGAAGAGAAGCCATGGTATATGGATAAACCACAGATGAGGACCCTCTTAGTCAACTCTAGGTCACAAGGTCACATCACACTGAGAAGTCTCACCACACCTTCAATTCCCGATCATGAACAAAAGGCAAGAGGGCGCTCAAGTTCCAGCACCAGCCAACCGATGTCATCTCCAGGAAATCTATAGTGTACAATACCTAGCGTCAACAAAGGTGAGACGGCTGTTTTAAATTCCACCTCCAATTTTCACTAAATATTTCATATTTGGAAAAAACATTTGAAGTTTATGTTAACTTTTCTACTTTGTCGAAAATAAATCTGCCTCATGGTAAAACAGTCACACAATTCAAATAAAACAAATTACAGGAGATTTAAGTCAGATGTTATGCTTCACATTGAAAGGTGTAATATCAAAAACTCTATCGATGTGTTTCATCAAAAATATTAAGCACACAACCTGGAGCCAAAAAAGCAAGAGACTTGTCACTTCCTCTCCGTGACAAATGAGTTAAACACTGACAGAAGCTGTATTAACATTACCTAGGGCAGGAGAAACATTTGGTGACTCACACATTTCCCTTTAATATCAATTTTAAAATTAAAGAGCTGTTTTCTCAGGGAAAAAAAAGAGGGAAAACATTTTAAATTATCCCTTTAAACTTCAGATCCAATAAATTAAAAACCATTTTGCCTCCTTGGTTTCAATTTCCAAGCCAATTCCATTTTTTTCGCCCCAAATCGCGAGTCATATCAATCATCTGGTACCCATTAAATTTACTACCTTAAAACCATTCAGCTGAGGTTTAGGGTGTGCCTGCAGCTGAACAAATACCATCTGAATTTTAACTCTATCTCCTTCTAACACCTTCCATATTTATTTACTTATAAATGTGGATTATTTTTCTCTAGACGTGAAAAAAAAGTGCAGTGAACAAATTTCACAGAGCGCAGTTATCACATAAATAAAACCAGATAAAATCGGAAAATGAGTGTTCTCTACCCCAACGCCTCGTTCATGACAAGGATTTTAAATGGCTCAAAAACGTTTCAATACCTATAGTCTAAATACCAGAGTAAATCCTTACATGCTCTTTACTCGCCGAGGTAATGGAATAAAGAGCGGGGGGATACAGTCGGCATGACTAAAATACTCAGGTAATGCCGAAGTTAAGCCGACGATTTGACGCCGCTCCCCATTAACTTTTCATCAACCTTGCTAACAAGAAAGTGACAAGCTGAGATGTCGGATCGTTTTATTTCCCAGGCTGTTCCTCTGGCGGAGGCTGAGTTAAGCGGTGCTCAAACAAGGGGTACGGTACACTGCAAATAACACAGTCCTGGGTAAGATTATTCCTACAAAGTAGGAAAAAGCAAAAGAAGAATTGTTTTGCATTTCTGCCCTCGAACTCCGTTCCAGAATCCAGCACTGCCTGCCAAAAGCAACGCAGTAGAACCGATCATTAAATAACACCCAGAGTCTTCCGGCTGGACGCCCCGAGAAAGCCTTCCTCCAGCCTAGTCAGGACTCGCCGCGGCAGCGCGAGAGAGGCACGGCCCACCAGGGCAAGACGAGTTCGCAACGAAAACCACGAGTGTCCCACGCAGGGACCCGAAATGAAGTCCCTGCTCCCGCGCACGCTGCAGGGCCGCGGCTCCCCGCCGCTCGCCTGCAAAAAGGGGGTCCCACGGCGGACTGGGGAGAGGGAACTCGCCTCCTGCGACGAACCAGTCCCTCCCCGTCAGACCCGCGCGCAACTCCCGCTCTTGCGAGCTCGCAGACGGTCCCGCCACGGTCTCACTCCGCTCCGCCCCGCTCAGCACGAGACCAGCCGACACCCTCTCTGACCTGTCCTCGCAGGGGTCCAGTCGGCAGCGTGACGCCTCCATCGCGATCGCCGCTGTGAGCGAACGCGTCTAGACCCCGACTCTGCGGCTAGGGAGGCAAGACTGGCCAGCAGCCGGGCCCCGCCCCCTAACAACCGAACCGCGCACTGTCGCCATTGCCCATTGGTCTGCGTGCCGGCCTCTCGCCTCTCATTGGCTATTGCCGCCGCCCGGCGTTGCGGGAGGGTTTCTAAGGGGAGTATGAACAGGGCGTAAAAGGCCCCTGCGCCCAAGCTAGGTGACGCATTAGGGTTTGGCTCCTGGTGCGGCGCACCGGGAAGACCCCCCCCGGGCGGAAGGCTGTGCTTGCCTCAGCTACTTCACTCTCGGCGGCTGGAAAGCCAGTCGGGGAGCCACCCATCCCCCACTAACCGCCACACACGAAGCAGTCTTCCCGCACTTCCGGCTGTTTGTACCCAGAGACCACCCAGAGGTCTGTAATGTGAGCACCTACAGACCTCTGCCGCCTGCCTCAGGTCGGCCCCTTCCGGACACCAGGGCCTTCCTGGGAACCACACTGGTTCCCTCTCCAGCAGTCATTCCCCGTTAAAAGCACCTTTCATAGTTACCTAGTTGGCTCTCCAACTGCGCGAAACTTGAGGCTCCCCTACTCCAAGCCTGAGCGGTGAGAGCCCTCCTAACACTAGCTCTACAGACTCTCCTAAGAATCTTTTCCATTTACATCTCTACAGCCTGTGGCCCATCTTCACACATCCATATCCCTTAATGAAATCCGCTATCTAGACCTGTACTCCCGTTTCCAATACATCTCTTCTCACCACCAACTTATATACAGCACTATAGTGTCTACAAAACTGCTGACATAAGTTATCACATTTGGAAGTCGAAGTTGTTTTCCCATTGGTTTTGAATTTCTAAGAGGCATAGAATTTGGCACAAGCTAGGAGAGCAGAGAATTGTGCTCCCAGGTCAGTCGCCCCTCACTGTGACCAGAACATGGTTCATTATCCGTTTCAAACCCCCATCTATAAAATAATAATCCCCGCTTGTCTGGCTCAGGCTGGACCTGACTCTTAAAGCCGAATGAATGGAGTTGAATGGGAAACTCTTTGTACTAGTGAGAGGACCATGGAGACACTTTTGTTGCCTGGGCAGCCCTGCATTAGGAAGTAGTATTCTCTGAAAAATTTCCACATTCATTTACACACATTTTAAACAGTTACTACAAGAAACCATTTTCTCACTCTATTTAATATTTACAGATTTCTTTGGCTGGAAATAAAAAATCAAAACACAGCAAACCAGATAACCTAGTATCTCTCTCCCCTTCACCTCCCTGATCCCATCGTATTCACTAAAACAGGGCTTGCTGCCTCGTTTTCATCTTGCTCTTCCAGCAGATGAGCCAAGGTTGCAGAGGTGGAAGTTCAATTATCAAAACTCAGAGTTTGATTTTTTTCATCTAACAGGTCAGAGGAAGCTGCCCATGAGCCTGACACAGAGCTGGTATTCAAAAATGTGGAGTGAATTAGTTTGAGAGAGGTGATTAAAGGATTAATGAGTTGGAGTTAAAGAAAACAATTTAAAAAGACTTCTGTGGAGGGAGCAGCAGTATTGCTGCATGATTGGCAGTCAGAAGCAGGATTCTCTGAAAACTTTCTGCAATTATTTATTTACATACATCTTAATCAGTTACTACAAGATACTTTAAATTTTTTAACAGTACAAGAGAAATAGAAGTCAACTGTTTATGACACTAAAAACTGTTTATGACAAGATATTTTTAAAAAGCAGATAAATCTGGGAATGGAACCCTTATTACTCCAAGACTGTAATTAAAATATTTTTTCTATTGATGTTATTGGTATTATTTCCATTCTATCCTATTGATATACTCTCCTGTGAGCTGGAAGAGTGACTTTAGCAACACGATGAAAACCAGCAATCAATTTCTTGAGACCATTGATGCCTGAGAAACCCAGTCAGTTCTTCGCAAGGAATGGGCTTTTGCTCAGCCTCCCTCTCTCCCTAAGGTAAGTAAGCAGGTGCTGTCGTCTTCTCCATGTGACCTTTATCCCATACTTCTCCTCAGGAGTGTCTTTAACCAGAACAGGCCCAGGCTCTGGACTCTTGGGAGTGCTCGTATGAAAACAGTTTAGAAAGCTGTTTTCCCTCTGATCTGGGGAAATGGGCCCCTCCTGCACAGAAGATGACTCTGGGGTCTGGATATCAGGTGGAATGAACACATAAGGTAAGTTTTGAAGTGCATGTGCTGACAGCTCCCCAGCGCTTTGGGGACTGAGCATTGGAACTAAGGGCCTTCTAGAACTGTCCTTTTCTGATTGATTGGGGCACTCCCTGGTTGAGGGGATTCCAAGTGTGGCTGAACTGGAAGAAGACTGTGGATTCTCAAACATGAGATGTGGAAACTTAGAAGTGGTACATTTTCGACTTGAATGTCTTGCCTGGTCTCGCTTATGACGTTTCCGGTTGACTGGAAACCAGCTTTCTGTGGGTATATCAAACTGAGGTGACACCTAAGGATCCAAAGGAAAAAAAAGTGAGGACAGCTGATGACCAAGAATTTGAGGGAGAAAATGACATCACTGACTAGAACCCTAAATGGGCACTATGGTAATGGACACAAAACAAAAATACCTGTCTAATGGGATATTACTAGAAACGGACATGACTTTGGACAAGTTATTCAATCTCTCTGACTTTCAATCTCTTCATTGTAAGAAAGGGGACAATGCCTCTTTCATCTAATCACACCATACAACTGCAACTTGTTTATCTCTAAACTTTAAGGGCAGAGACCTTACTTACTCACCACTAATCTCTAGCACCTAGGGGAGTGCCTGGCATAACGAAGGGCCCCAGGAGAGAATGAATGGCTTCATGCAAGAATAGGGAGTGAGGTCCTGTATGGAGAGCAACTAGCATAGGACCTGGCATATAACAAGTTCTCAATAAATGCTCATTCTTCTTCTCATCTACAGGATTCAAACATTCGTTTCTCCTATAGTCCTGAACCAGGTATTATGGTTCTTCTAAACAACCGTGAATGAGTAATATTTACTAAGCACTCTTAAGCAAAGCTTATGTTTTTGTCTGACCCATTTGCCATTCTACTTCCCTGACATGTTCTCTTCGCAAGGCTTTTAAACTGTCAAAATATGACATACACCATTTCTGTGGGTTTTTTTCAAGGTTCAACCTAATAAGCAGTAAATAGCTAAATACCAATCGCACGAAGCTTAAGAAACAACCTCATTTTTTTTTACTGGTTCTGCCATTTTGTCTCAGTTACTGGTTTATATTGAACTTTCAGAGGAATGTGGAGGGAAAGACTCTAATTCCAACCAACCCATGCCTCTGTTTGGACTTAGGAAAAGAAGATATACCAGAGAACAGGGCTGACAAGACAGAAACAATACATTACATCCTTGTCCTGCCCCCCAAATCTTAGTCTTTGGACGCTCTGGTTCAAGGAGCATAAGAGTCAGCATTGTGAGAAACCTAACAAATTCAAATCAAATCCCATGACCTACCCAGGAAGTAACGGTGTCGTGGTCAATGGGCTTGCTAGCCACCTGTCTAGTGTAAGTGATGGGAAGCTGTGGAGATCTATAGCAGTGTTTGGGACCCTCCAGTGGTTGTTGGTGAAATACCAGCTGGGCTTTCTGGGAACCTTGGCAGCGTTTTTTTCTGGGAGGCATCAAAAGGTGAGTGAAGAGCAGTTAGTAACCACATGATGCTGGTGGTAGTCAGGTCGAGGGAAAGGCTCAAGTTCCAACCCATGCCTGCAGAGAAGAAACAAATGCTAGGAGAAAATAATTCCCACAATTCCCCAGCTCTTCCTCATACTCTGCCAACCAGTTCTACTACCAACTACCACCCCAACCTCAAGGCTGCTGGGAGCAGCTTCCTATAGCTACACCACCAAGTAAAGACATGCAAAAACAGTCGTTCAATGAACATCCATCGAGCACGTGTTAAGTGCCATGCTGGGTGTTGGGAATTGAAAGATGGATAACCATTTATTCTATGATCATTTCTGGAGTGCCAAGCACTGGAAGGATCAGACTGCTCCTGTTTTCAAAGAGCTGATGGTCTAGCACAGAGAGACAGACAACTACAACAGTGGGAAGAATGCTTCAGTGACCTCAGGGGAGGCTTTCTGCAGACGGTGACATCTGACCTAGGTATGGAAGGAAGAATGGAGAACAAGCAACAGTAAAAAGATGTGAGAGGAATGCTGATGGACAGTGACTGTAATGGGGTATCTGGTGGTGACTTGATAATGGGGGGAATCTAGTAACCACAATGTTGCTCATGTAATTGTATATTAATGATACCAAAAAAAAAAAAAGATATGAGAGGAGAATATTCCAGGCTGTGAGAATAGTAAGAGCAGAGACCACTACGTGGGAATACGTCTGTAATACATTACATCCTTGTCCTGCCCCCCAAATCTTAGTCTTTGGACGCTCTGGTTCAAGGAGCATAAGAGTCAGCATTGTGAGAAACCTAACAAATTCAAATCAAATCCCATGACCTACCCAGGAAGTAACGGTGTCGTGGTCAATGGGCTTGCTAGCCACCTGTCTAGTGTAAGTGATGGGAAGCTGTGGAGATCTATAGCAGTGTTTGGGACCCTCCAGTGGTTGTTGGTGAAATACCAGCTGGGCTTTCTGGGAACCTTGGCAGCGTTTTTTTCTGGGAGGCATCAAAAGGTGAGTGAAGAGCAGTTAGTAACCACATGATGCTGGTGGTAGTCAGGTCGAGGGAAAGGCTCAAGTTCCAACCCATGCCTGCAGAGAAGAAACAAATGCTAGGAGAAAATAATTCCCACAATTCCCCAGCTCTTCCTCATACTCTGCCAACCAGTTCTACTACCAACTACCACCCCAACCTCAAGGCTGCTGGGAGCAGCTTCCTATAGCTACACCACCAAGTAAAGACATGCAAAAACAGTCGTTCAATGAACATCCATCGAGCACGTGTTAAGTGCCATGCTGGGTGTTGGGAATTGAAAGATGGATAACCATTTATTCTATGATCATTTCTGGAGTGCCAAGCACTGGAAGGATCAGACTGCTCCTGTTTTCAAAGAGCTGATGGTCTAGCACAGAGAGACAGACAACTACAACAGTGGGAAGAATGCTTCAGTGACCTCAGGGGAGGCTTTCTGCAGACGGTGACATCTGACCTAGGTATGGAAGGAAGAATGGAGAACAAGCAACAGTAAAAAGATGTGAGAGGAATGCTGATGGACAGTGACTGTAATGGGGTATCTGGTGGTGACTTGATAATGGGGGGAATCTAGTAACCACAATGTTGCTCATGTAATTGTATATTAATGATACCAAAAAAAAAAAAAGATATGAGAGGAGAATATTCCAGGCTGTGAGAATAGTAAGAGCAGAGACCACTACGTGGGAATACGTCTGACTTGTCGAAGAGAGAGTAAGGCCAGTATGGCTGAACTGGAGAGTAGCGGGATCTGAGACAGTTCATATGACACAGGACTTCAGAGGTGAGGTTAAGGACTCTAGATTTAATTATTCTCAGTGTGACAGAAGCCATTGAAAGATTCTGGACAGGAAAATGATATCTTCTGAGTTATACGTTTAAAAGATAAGGCGCTTTGTGAGAAAAGGTGGCTTGGGGAGAGGAGGAGGAGAAAGTAGCAGGGAGCCGTTAGCAGGCTCCAGTGAAAAGTGTGGAAATTAACCAGTCTCAACGGGCAGTACATTGTTCACCAATCCTACTGTTTCCTCCATCAACTCATTTTCCACAAAGATTATCTTAAAACTTTCCCACTTTCTTAGAACTTTAGAACTCCCCTTCTTTTTCAACAATTGACTTCACTTCCTACTTCACAAAGGATACAGGAGACGTCAAAGGAAATACTCCCACTTTCCAGAAATCAAACATAAAACCTACATATATCTGCTATACATCCTCTTTCTGCTGTAATTAGAGGTCCGTCCCTTTTGCTGTCTCAGGCCTTCCCCTCTGGCCAGGCTTTGGAGCCTTCCTCACTCTGTGCACCTTTCTTAGGCAACCATCCTCTCATGTTTCAATAACCACCTAGAAGTAGATGGCTAGTATTTACATATTCGGCTTAGAATTCTCAGCACCCAAAACCCACACATCCACTGCCTGCTTGAGAGCAACTAGATGCCGCAACTGCACCTCCAACTCAACATGTGTAAAACTGAATTCATGATCATTTCCCCTGCACCTGCTACATAAAAGTGACTATCTTCCAGGGCCCTTGCTCAGGGAATTGGTATTGCCATTCATCCAATGACGCAACCAGAAATCTTGACATTTTCTTTTCCCCCCTCCCATTCAACCCAACACCAAGCCCTGTCAATTTGACCTCTTATACGTGTTTCTAATAATGCCCCTTTCTCCTCTCCCTCTCCCCCTCTCTCCACCACCCTTCAAGTTTCAATAGTTCTGGCCTGAAGTATTGCAATAGTCTAACCTGTCACCCTAATCCACTCTGGCACCTCCCGCAGAGGGCCCTTTTAAAAAGGCAAATCTGATCTTGACTCGCTTGTGCTTAAATTTTTGGATTTTGGAGTAAGGACCAAACTCCCTCAGCTCTGGCTAAGGTCCTGCCTCTTCTGGTTCCAACCTCACCTCACACCACACTCCATTCAGATCTCAGCTCCGTGGCCTCAGCTATTCTTCAGCCTTTGTACACACCATGCTTCCTCCTGTCACACGGCCTTTGCACACCTTATTCCCTTTACTTTGAGAATTTCCCTCCCTTCTTTGCATAAGGGCATCGCATCTCAGACCACGCTTTGGTTCATCAGAAAAGCCTTTCCTAACCTACAGACAGCAAGACTCCCTTGTAGCGGCTCAAAGGCATAGCTGACCTCTAATGTATCATTTCACAATTGTAATTCTCCAGTCGCTGATTTTTGGGAAAGTCTGCGCTCCCCTCTCCTCGCAGTTAGACTGTAAACTCAGGAGAAGGAAGAATGTCCTCGGCCACTGTATCCTGGCAGGACCTGGCACACAGTAAGTGCTCGACAAAACGCGTGGATAAGTTAATAAACAAAGTACTTTATTATATATGAGATATATAAAGAGACTGGAGTCGTATCATGAGGTTTCGAGGCTGAAGTGGGGCTTTCGGTGTGCAGTTGTTAATGGCGCTAACTTGGACAAGATTTCACGCTGCCCTCAAAGAACTCGCATTCTAGTCGGGGAAACCAGATGACCGATCGCTGGAGGTCAGGGAAGCAACATCTCCCCCGGGAGGGAAATCAAGCCGGGTGGGCTTTAAAACTGGGTGAGGGTACCCGCAGACGGGGAAGCGTCGCCCGGAGTGATTAGGGCGGCGCCCCGGACCGCGCAAGACAGCCCGCCGCGAGGCCTCCACAGGCGCCGCCGTACCCCGCGTCCCCCGCGGTCCCCGCCCGCCGCGGCCGCCTGGGCCCCGGGCGCCGCTCCCCACGAGCCGGCAGCGAAACCTTACCCGCCCGGCGGCTCCCCTGCCGCCGCTCCTCCCGGCCGCCGCGGCGCTAGGCCTGGAACGCGGAGACAAGGGCTGCGCCGATTGGCGACGCTCCGTCACGTGACCGCAACGCTCCGCCGGCGCCAATTTCAAACAGCGGAACAAACTGAAAGCTCGGCCGTCGGACCCCACCCCCGGCCCCCGGCCCGGGACCCCCTCCCTCCCGGGATCCCCCGGGATTCCCCACCCCTCCCGCATCGCCGGGGACCCGGCCGGCCTGGCGCGAGTCCCTGCCCGGGACCCTGGCTCGGCCCCCAGCTTGGAGGAGCCCGGAGCCCGCCCCAAGAGCCGGAACCCAGCGGCGGCTGCAGTCGGGAGGTGAGCGGGGGCGGAGGGACGCAGGCTGAGGCCCGGCCTCGGCAGACAGACGCGGGCAGCGAGTCTCGGACACCGACGTCAGGGGTCCGACGGCAGTGGAGGTTTGGGGCTGCGCGGGTAGGAGGCCTGAGGTAGAATGCAAATTTTTTCTGCATCCAACCTCGTCCTCACTTCTTTCTCAAAGCACCCCTCGGTCTTCCGTGGAAGTCTGACCTCTGAACCCTGTTCGCAAAGGAGGGTTCGGGAGAACACCTTGGGATGGCGGGGGTGGCCTACTTACTTAGGCAGACTGTGACTGGAATGAAGATTAAGCTTATTCTGCATTAAGTCAGAGACCAATCTGCTCGCACATTCCCCTCCTGGGTGTTCTCACCATTATGCAACACTGTCTGCATGCCACCCTTTTCCAGGGCTTCCAGGGTGCAAAGAGGCTGGTCAGAGTAGAAGGGAGAACTGAGCCTTAGACCAGAAAGATATATATTAGGAGTGGGAGGGAATAATAGTATCTACTGAGTGGTGGGGGAGGAAGGGAGACCTGAGAGATGTGGAGTGGAACAGATTTGAAGGTGCAGGAAATCTAGATATCAAGGAGAGGGAGGAGGCAGAGTGGAGCGTTCCTGTGACCTCTAAGCATATGGCAAATGTCATATGAGTTTGACAATCATTTTTAGGGAGGTAACAGATGTCCTAAAAGAGACAGTCCACTGCTCTCTCAAAATACCTCTAAATAGGATTACACAATTTCACATACTAATGAGGTATTCCGTGTGTCTATTAGAATCAACAAAGCACAAATGTTTTAAAAGATAAAACTATTTTCCTGAACATTACAAAACCACCTTAGCATATTGAGGGCACATTCTGTTAGTTAAGAGATAGGGTTTAACAGAGAAGACAAGTAGTGATTCTACAGCATCTTACTACGCTGATGGACAGTGACTGTAAGGGGGTATGTGGGGGGACTTGGTGATGGGGGGAGTCTAGTAAACATACTGTTCCTCATGTAATTGTAGATAAATGATACCAAAAAAAAAGAAAAGAGGGTTTATAGTCTTGGTTCTGGAAGAGTTATTAAGTAATACAGTAATTTGCTTAGAAAGTTAAAACATGAAAAAGCCCATGCAAACACTAAAATGTCATTGTATAAATATTTTGCATATTATGGAGGAAAAATGTATATTTTTGCATCAATGCAAGGATAATGGTATGTGAGATAAATGGCACCCCGTAGTGTTATGCAGTGCACAATCTGTACAACCGTACCATGGGCCTTGAACAGAGCAGGTTGCCTTTTTATCTGAGGTCTTGTGAACTGTGCCATGATTTCTTCAGTGGTGTGGCAACAGTGCAAGAGTACAAACTGCGTTTCTCCTCTGATTCATAGGCACTGATCCTTTTATTTTAAACTAAGATGATAGGAAAATATAAAGGCTCTTTTCTAGAATGGGTTATGGGATCAGTGTTTTGTCAGGACTTCTGATGACCAAATGTCCTCCTCTTCCAGCATTCCTATCCCACAGTCACTGTAGTGATCTGTACTATTGTAGTCAACAAGAGAGAGTTCCATATTTTTGTAACCGTCCCACTTGTTTCTGTAGCCAAACATTCCTAAGCTTCCAGAAGACCTTTGGCTCTACGGACCTACATTCTTCCCAGTTCCACTTTCTCCCTTCGAATTTCTTCAGTTTTCCTCATGTTTAGCCACCTCCTGTCTGTAGAACTCATCTCCTTATTGTCTGAGGTCTTTGCAGAGGCCCAGGGGCCATTCACCTTGGCCTGCGGGCTAGTGCTCCTGGCCGAAGGGCAGGAACGCCTCTCTAACAGAACCTCCTTCTCAGCCCTAACAAATCTCTGACATCCTGACACTGTGTGCTTTCCAGGGTCCATGCCTGTGATTCTCGATGGAGAGTGAAAGCACAGATTCATGATGAAAACCAGCCCCCGGCGACCACTGATTCTCAAAAGACGGAGGAGGCTGCCTGTTCAAAATGCCCCAGGTGAAACATCAGAAGAGGAGCCAAAGAGGCCCCCTGTTAAACAAGAGCCCGGTCAAGCACAGGCCTCCATGGAGGGGGCAGAGCCCAACCCTTGCAAGTTTCCAGCTGGGATCAAAATCATTAATCACCCCACCATGCCCAATACCCAAGTGGTGGCTGTCCCCAGCAATGCCAATATCCAGAGCATCATCACAGCACTGACTGCCAAAGGGAAAGAGAGTGGCAGCAATGGACCCAATAAATTCATCCTCATCAGCTGTGGGGGAGCCCCCACTAACCCTCCAGGAGCCCGACCTGAAGCCCAAGCCAGTAATGATCCCAAGAACACAGAAGTGATTGCTGAGACCCAGGGACCAACGCCTGCAGCGAGGGCTATGAATCTCCCTAGACCAGCTGGAGCCCGTCCCAGACAGAGATGGGAGAGTTGTGGTATGTGGTCCACAAAGCAAACAGGTGAGGGGCCCAGCCTTTCCTCTCTGGTGGCACAGACTGTCATCGGTCATGTTGATACTTGCATGCACCAAGGGAAAGTCTTGTCTTTCTTCATCCTGAAACCTTGATCCAGATCCTTTGGACACTGTCAAAAGGATTGCAGTTATAATTTAGCATTTCTATAGCCTTCTTTATATTAAAAATAAGGATTTGTTTATTGTTTCTATTTCTCCTTCCCATTGACTGTATAAGGAAGTAGGAATTTTTCTCCTTCTTAATAAAGGAGAAAACTGAAGCATGAGGAGGGAAAGTGACTTTCTTGTGCAGATTACTCAGTAATTCTTTTTCGGACAGTTGCCTTGACTGGTCTGTCTCACTGTGGCTCAGATTGAAAGGCAACTTGAACTGTGCTCCTGGATTTCTCCAGAAATCCATAAGGGGGCAGAGTACCTGAGGGCCACACTAGATCTGGTACCTCTTCCCTGTCCCTGAGGGTAAAGGTCATAGCAAGGTGACCCCTAACCACCAACTGTGATGGGCCTGCCGGGCATCGGATCAGGCGGCTAAGTTGCATCTTGGATTGTTTCCCCCCAAACAGCTGGCGGCGAGGCAGCAGGCGGTACTCTGGACAACAGCTTGACCAACATCCAGTGGCTTGGGAAAGTGAGTTCTGATGGACTGAGCAGCATCAAGCAAGAGATGGAGGAAAAGGAGAACCATCACCTAGAGCAGCGTCAGGTTAAGGTGAACTGTTCTGTCACTCACTGGAGAAGTCGAAGCCAGTGCAGAGAATTTCTAAGAAGGGAAATGGGTCAAATGGCCTGTGGCACAGAATTTCCAGGTTCTAGGATTAGCTCTTCACTTAGTGAAATTCTGTAGAACTTGTGAGCTACCTTTCTGCCTAGGATCTTTCTCCGCCATCTGTGAAATTCCCTTGAAGGCAAATTCCTCTGGGTCACTCTGTATTCATTACAGCAGCACTGACTTTTGTACCCTTAGTAGGTATTCAATAAATAATGATGAGGTCTTCGTTTGAAAAGCAACTTAAACTTTAAAGGGGCATGCCAACCATACGAATACAGCATTTTTAACAAGGTAGTTTTATTAGAAGACATATTAATAGCAAATAAAGCAAGTTACATGTGCATTTTAAATATTTCCCCAGCAATCAAAACTGACCCAAACTCTGTGGGCTGGGGTTGTTTTTCACAGTTGCCACATGCCTAGATTCTGTTGTATATACTCTTTAATCATTCATTCAACTACCTTTCCAAGTGAAAATTTACATGAATTTGTACGTGAGTAAAAACTGAGCTGTTTCACTTAAAATTTGTGTACTTATTAAGTGGTAGCTCAAGTTTTTTTCATGTAAATGATCTGACCTTTGCCTAAGACTTAGCCAGATGTGTGCTTTGCACACATTTGACCCATACTCTTAGGAATATTGCTCTCATACAAACATTGAAAGGAGATGGGTTTATTCACATCACATCAGAAGTAGGAATCAGATGAAGACCTAGGTCTCTTGACCCCCAGGTCTGAAAAATGGTCTTAGGATGAAATCAGTGCTTTAAGAATCTAAATTCCCAAACTTTCCCAAGAGGTTCCAGCTAGCAAAGAAATACTGGACTTGTGTTTATTACTGGGCAATATCACCAACAAAATGAATGAGGACAGAGAAGTGGTTCTACATGTCTAGGAACTGGACTAGGTCACCTCCAATATCTTCCTAATCCTAAAAGTTTATTCAGTGGAATTGTGGGCTCAGATGAGTTTGTTTCTAGTGTGATTCTATGGGATCCAAGGTTTCTATAGGGGATGTTGTTTTGGGAGGAGCCAGGCGCAGCATTGTGAATGCTTCCATGACATTCCATTTTCTCTTTCCCTTTGGCTTCTTATAACCTTTAGGTTGAGGAGCCTCCAGGAACATCAGCATCCTGGCAGGACTCCGTGTCTGAGCGGCCACCGTACTCTTACATGGCCATGATCCAGTTCGCTATCAACAGCACCGAGAGGAAGCGCATGACCTTGAAGGACATCTATACTTGGATTGAGGACCACTTCCCCTACTTTAAGCATATTGCCAAGCCAGGCTGGAAGGTACCATGTCCCATACAACCAGTCGCTCTGGCTGGTAGTTTGTCTACATGGATGTAGAGCAATTTGTGTCTGGCGCCCTGAGGGAGCAGTTAAATGCAAAGGATGCTGGAACTATAAACAACTAGATCTTTTGGAATGTGACTCTATCCTGCTGAGTCCAGGCAAAATCATCAGTAAGAGCTCTGCCTCCACTTCACTTGTGGCTGTCTAAGGGTAATGGAGATGCTTCAGTGTAACACGAAGCCTGCTTTTGTGCTCCATTGAACAGCAGCTGGAGTGACTAAGTAGCTTTATGAAAAGATCTTAATGAAAAAAAACATGCTGTCTGTGAGCCTCATGACCCAATATTCACCTCCTATAATGTCACATATCATCTCTAGAAGGCAGGGATTTTCTCTTCAGTTTATTCATGGGAACCCTGAGGTGTCTGAGTCACTGTAATGCACACCTCAGCGTCAGAGCCACCACCTAGGGCTTCTGACACATACTCAATTTCAAGCCAAGGGTTTTTGTTTGGTTTTCCACAAAGTAGACGTCTTAACTTCATGCTCTTACCTCAACTAAATTCCAAGCTCCTTTGTTTCTTTACTCACTTGTCTTGCTGTTGAGTATTGCTTCGCAGCCTCACACTTCCTTCCCAGCCCCTGATGGCTATTGGGGTCTTTATCACCCACCTAAGGAATGCCACCAGTCTTCCTCCCCGGTGGGTAGATGGGTCCACGGCTCAGGCTGCCGGCCCTGCATTGTGGAGTGTCAGGAAGAGAGTTGCCAATAGGCAAGGTCATAAGGATGCTCGCAAAGCCTGTGCTGAGCACAGTGGGCGAGCCCCGAGTTTGATTCCCCTCAGGAAACATTAAAGGTGACGTTTCTGAAGCTAAAGTAGCCAGTAATTGGTTGTCTTTTCTTTCAGAATTCCATTCGCCACAACCTTTCTCTCCACGACATGTTTGTTCGAGAGACGTCTGCCAATGGCAAGGTGTCCTTTTGGACCATTCACCCTGGTGCCAATCGCTACTTGACACTGGACCAGGTGTTTAAGGTGAGTGTCCTGGTTTCATATAAACAGGGCCACAGATGAGAGTCATAATATCCATCTCAAGAGGAGACAAGCCCTCCTTGTGATGATCTTATCCAATCAGGGCAGAATTAGAGGCCCACCAGCCCATAGATGATTTGTGTGAAACTGAATTAAGTACAGCTGACAAATACCAAATGACACCCTTTTGTGCTAGATCAGGCCGTGGAAAGGACTGTTCACTGTCCCCCTATCACTCCATGGGTAAGAATTGTCTGGCATGCTTATTAAACCACACCTTCCCAGGCCCCTCTTTTGGGGCTTCTGATTCAGTGGGTCTGGGATGGGTCCAGAAATAAGTAGTTTTAACAAGCATCTCAGGTGATTCTTAGAGAGAAAGTCTGGGAAACCTTGTTTTTAAAGCCCTTCTTCAGGCTGGAAACCAGAACATCTTTTCAGAAGCCATGGTTTTGGGCTTTTAGAGTGTGTATAAGGCTGCTGCTAACAGTCGCTGTTCTCCTGGGAGGGAGAGTTGTCCAGGGTGGCTCTCAGTATCAATCAGGAATAGGTATTTTGCCCAATCTGGCCAGGTTGACCACGCTGGTGGTAACTTCATCTCATTTCTCTCCCACAATGCCTGACTGCCACCAGCCACTGGATGCAGGGTCTCCACAATCGCCTGAGCACTTGGAATCAGTAAGATTCTTTCCCTCCGGCTCGGGGCTCGGCCTGTTTTCCTTTCACTGCCAGCATGCCTTTAGTGGACAGTGACAGGATGATAAGCAGGGGAGGGATCATGTGGCCATGTGACTGCCAGTCCCAAATGCAGAGCACCCAAGCTTCTGGGAGTGAGGAAGTCTGTGGCACCATGTCATCTCCCCAGAAGTAGGGCTCCCCCGCCCATAGGTGTCATGCAGGTTCACTAAGCAGAGCAGGGAGCGGCAGGAGAACACGCTATGGGCTTGGTGCAAGACAGCAACTGCAGTGCATGGCGTAGGCCTGGCAGGCAGTGTTTTTTTCTCGCTGTTCTACCTGGCTTTTCTTCGCCACTCATAGAGCTACACGCTTTAGCATTCCCTGGGGATGGTGAGGACACATGGCTGAGATGGTAGGACCTGCCATCATATGTCTGTGCACTGCCCACCTCTTCTCACTAACCATCTTTGGAGACAATGCTCATATGCCAAACCGGCTCTTACTTCCTGGGCTGTCGGTTAGCACAGTGCTTGGCACCAGAGCTGCTGGTGGGGTCTCCTGCCCTCTCCCCCTGCCTTATTAACCCAGGTTTCTTTCTCTCCCTATTCCCATAAGCAGCAGCAGAAACGACCCAATCCTGAGCTCCGCCGGAACATGACCGTCAAATCTGAACTCCCACTGGGCACACGTTAGTATGGGAGAGCAGGCCTCGCGCCTCAGCCTGGTCTGGGGATGTACCTTTAGGGCAGTAGGCTCTGGGATTCTGTGCTGCACTCACAGGGTCTGAGCCCAGAGAAGAAAGGCAAGGGTCCTGGGATTGAGAAGAGCTGTATCCCCGGACCCCTGCTTCTCATCTCGTTTCCTCCTAGGGCGGAAGATGAAGCCGCTGCTCCCACGGGTCAGCTCGTACCTGGTGCCCATCCAGTTCCCAGTGAACCAGTCCCTGGTGCTGCAGCCCTCGGTAAAGGTGCCTTTGCCCCTGGCAGCTTCCCTCGTAAGCTCAGAGCTTGCCCGCCACAGCAAGCGGGTCCGTATTGCTCCCAAGGTGAGTGGCTTCTATTTGTCTCTGAGGAGAGACGCCAGTCCATTCAAAGTGCTGGACCTGTGGCTTGCAAATCACTCCACTCCGTGTTCCTTGAGAAGCTTTTAAACTTAGTTGGCATAAAAACACAAAGGAAAATTCAGTAACAGTGTAAGAGTTAACAATTCCAATAACAGTGATTATGATGAATGGACTGGGCTGGTTAAGGAGGAGTTCCAAGGGAAGCAAGGTTTAGAAAGAATCACCTTAGGTAAGCAGCCAGCATGGAGGACATTCCAGTGGCAGTGCCGTGAGATGGGGAGGGAGTGTCTCTACCCCAGGAAGGGTAGAGTGATTGGGTCAGTCTAGCGCAGGGTTTCTCAGCCTCAGTGCTCTTGACCTTTAGGGCTGGGTAATTCTTTGTGGGGGGTGAGAGGAGGCTGCCCAGTGCCTGAAGGATGTTTAGAAGCAGCCCTTGTCTCTCCCCACCAGATGCCAGGAGCACCCCCCCTGTGACAATGAAAATGTCTCCAGGCATTCCCAAAGGTCCCCGGGTGGGGGCAGGGGTGCCACTGGTCAAGCGTCAGTGGTGTAGCTTGAGGAGAACGTGAGGAAGGTAAGTTAAGACCACATCGTGATAGGCTGCCAAGTCTGGAGAGGAGAATTTGTGAGTGAGAGCTGATGTAGTAAAGTAGAGGAAAGAACCCTTCCTCCTGCCCTGAGATGGCCATAGCATATGGTCTGAGGCTTAGGACGTGGGGGTTTGTTTTATCTTTTCTTCATTAAAAAATATTATTAAAATATACATAAATCTACACAGAAGTGTTAATGTGATGGTAGCTTGCATGCTGTGTGTTTTATTTTTATTACGGTATCATTGATATACATCTATGAAGGTTTCACATGTGCAACATTGTGGTTACAACATTCACCCATATTATCAAGTCCCCTCCCACACCCCACTGCAGTCACTGTCCATCAGCATAGTAAGATGCCTCAGAGTCACTACTTGTCTTCTCTGTGCTATACTGCCTTCCCCATGTTCCCCCAACATTATGTGTGTTAATCATAATGCCCTTTAATCCCACTAGTCCCTTCTTGGAGTCTGTGAGTCTCTTGCTGTTTTGTTCCTTCAGTTTTGCTTTGTTCTTATACTCCACAAGTAAGTGAAATCAAATACTTGTCTTTCTCCACCTGCCTTATTTCACTGAGCATAATACCCTCTAGCTCCATCCATGTTGTTGCAAATGGTAGGATTTGTTTTTTTCTTATGACTGATTAATATTCATTGTGTATATGTACCACCTCGTTATCCATTCATCTACTGTTGGACACTTAGGCTATTGTAAATGGTGCTGCAATAAACATAGGGGTGCATATGTCTTTTTGAAACTGGGCTCCTGCATTCTTAGGGTAAATTCCTAGAAGTGGAATTCCTGGGTCAAATGGAATTTCTATTTTGTTTTTTTTGAGGAACCTCCATACTGCTTTCTGCAATGGTTGAACTAGTTTACATTCCCACCAGCAGTGTAGGAGGGTTCCCCTTTCTTCACATCCTCGCCAGCATTTGTTGTTCCTTATCTTTTGGATGTTGGCCATCCTAACTGGTGTGAGGTGATATCTCATTGTGGTTTTAATTTGCATTTCCCTGATAATTAGCAATGTAAAGCATCTTTTCATGTGCTTGTTGGCCATCTGAATTTCTTCTTTGGAGAAGTGTCTGTTCATATTCTCTGCCCATTTTTTAATAGGGTAATTTGCTTTTTGGGTGTTGAGGCATGTGAGTTTTTTATATATTTTGGATGTTAACCCCTTTTTGGACATGTTGTTTACAAATATATTCTCCCAAACTGTAGGATGCCTTTTTGTTCTACTGATGATGTCTTTTGCTGTATAGAAGATTTTTAGTTTGATGTAGTCCCATTTGTTCATTTTTGCTTTTATTTCCCTTACCCAAGGAGATGAAAAAGTTGTTCATGTTTATATTCAAGAAATTTTTGCCTATGTTTCTTCTAAGAGTTTTATGGTTTCATGACTTGCAGTCAGGTCTTTGATACATTTTGAGTTTACTTTTGTGTATGGAGTTAGACAATAATCCAATTTCATTCTCTTACATGTAGCTGTCCAATTTTACAAACACCAGTTGTTGAAGAGGCTGTCATTTCCCCATTGTATGTCCATGGCTCCTGTATCGTATATTAATTGGCCATATATGTGTGGGTTTATATCTGGACTCTCTATTCTGTCCCATTGATCTATGGGTCTATTCTTATGCCAGTACCAAGTTGTTTCGATTACTGTGGCTTTGTAGTAGAGCCTGAAGTTGGGGAGCATAATCCCTCCTGTTTATTCTTCCTTCTCAGTATTGCTTTGGCTATTTGGAGTCTTTTGTGGTTCCATATGAATTTTATAACTATTCTAGTTTTTTGAAGAATGCTGTGGTATTTTGATAGGGATTGCACTGAATCTGTAATTTACTTTAGTAAAGATGGCCATTTGACAATATTAACTCTTCCTATCCATGAGCACAGGATGTATCTCCATTCATTGGTGGCTTCTTTAATTTCTCTCATGTGTTGCATGGTATGTGTTTTAATACAGTCTGTTCTTTTCTCTTTTCCTTCTGCCCCACTCTCCCCACCTGCTCCCACATCACCCCTGCTCTCCATGAATATTCCTGTTGATAATTTAGTATGCTTTCTTCATAATTTTCCCATGCTCTTAGTAAAATATACATATAAGACATACAATGCCTTAGACATTTTATATGTGCACAACACAAGGAATGTTGAAAATGGGATATGACACATACTTTTCTGCTTCCAGAAAACTCTTCCAAGTCACTTGGCATAGCTTTAATTCATTGCTTCCTAATGGCCACACAATATCCCGTGGTTGTGGCTATGCCATAAAATTTCCAATCTTCCCACTTCTATGAGCACACTTCGTTTCTAGTTTTTTTGCCTTATCAACAGTATTGCAATAAATATCTTTGCAAGTATCTTTCTTACTAGTGCTTTTATTTCTATGAGATCGAGAACCAGACATGAGATTGTTAAGTAGTAAGGTGTTTTAAATTGTATGAAATATGGTAAGGTTGGTTTCCAAAAAATCTGATAATTCACATTTCTATCAGCAGTATATGATAAGACCTGTATCTTTGCCAGCAATTGTTATTGTTAGTGTTGTAAGTATTTGCCCAGCTACTATGTGTAAATGATATCTCCTTGTTTCATATTATCTTTCTTTGCTAATCAGGAAATGTGAGCACCGTCTTGATATGTTTGGTCCCTGGGGTTGTTACTACAAGATACTCATTTATGGACATTGCCCATCTTTCTATAGGGGTTTGTTAAGAATTTGTGTAAGTTCTTTGTTATCAAATTATTAACTTCTGCCTATTATGCTGAAGATATTTCTTGCCTCTACTGTTTGTTTCATAACTTTATCTTATCTTTTGTCACAGTAAGATATTTAAATTGTTATATAGTCAAATATGTCTCTCTTCTCTTTTACAGTTTCTGGGTTTCCAGTCTTGGTTAAGAAGGTCACCCCACCCTCAGTTTGTACATGTGGTCTTCTAGATTCTCTTTTAAGATTTGTATGGTTTAATTTTTCTGTTTAAGTCTTTGTTTACAGTGTAAAGTAGGCATCCAATTTTATTCTCTCAGATGGATACCAATTTTGCCAGCACCATATTAAATGCTCTAATTTTACTCCCAGCATTGAACTCCCACCTTCATCATATATTCTCATATGTCATAGTTCTTAAGACTTTAAAAAGACAAAAAAGAGGATCAGGAGCAGCAAGTCACATATTTTAGCCACACCCTGTGTCCTGCTCAGTGACCAGCCTAAACATCGGAGCCTCGAGGGAACCCATTCATCTTCTCCCTGCTTTGCTTCCAGGTGCTGCTGGCTGAGGAGGGGGTGGACCCCCTGCCCATGGCAGGGACAGGGGAAGAGGAGAAGATCTTGATTGGAGAGGGGCTGTCTGCTCTGCTTCCTGTTCAGCCCATCAAGGAGGAAGAGGCCCAGCCTGGGGAGGAATACCCACACTTGGGGAGACCCATCAAAGTAGAGAGCCCGCCCTTGGAAGAGTGGCCCTCACCGTGGCCTTCTGTCAAAGAAGAATTGTCCCATTCCTGGGAGGATTCGTCGCACTCCCCCACTCCAAGGCTCAAGTCCCCAGCCCGTTGTGTCTCAGAGATGCTGGTGATGAAACGAAGGGAAGGGAGGGAGGTGAGCCGGTCTCGAAGGAAACAGCACCTACTGCCTCCAGGCCTGGATGAGCCTGAGCTGTTCTCAGCCGGGCGCCCTGGGCCTTCCCGAGGGGCCCCAGAGCTCACCCTCGTGGCAGAGCCCTCTGAGCTCGCCTGCCCACTTGGCCACTCCCAGGAGGAGGGAGGACCTTTTAAGACACCCATCAAGGAGATGTTGCCCATCTCCTCCACCCCGAGCAAATCTGTCCTCCCCAGGACCCCCGAATCCTGGAGACTCACACCTCCAGCCAAAGTTGGGGGGCTAGATTTCAGCCCAGTACAAACCCCCCAGGCTGCCTTTGGCCCCCTGCCTGACTCCCTGGGGCTGATGGATCTCAGCACCACCCCACTGAAAAACGTCCCCCTCTTTGACTCACCCCGAGAGCTCCTCAATTCTGAGCCCTTTGAACTCACCTCTGACCCTTTTGGTAGCTGTTACCCCTCAGATAGGGAAATCCCCAAGCCAGGCTCCCCCGAGTCACAGGTTGCCAGCCTTTCAGCCAACCGTTCTCTGACAGAAGGTCTGGTTTTGGACACAATGAATGACAGCCTCAGCAAGGTCCTGCTGGACATCAGCTTCCCTGGCCTGGAGGAGGACCCCCTGGGCCCTGACATCAGCTGGGCTCAGTTCATTCCCGAGTGCAGTAGAGACATGGCCTGACCCTGCCGCTCACATGTCTGCTCTTTGGAGTGTTCATGTGGCTGGGCCTCCAGGTCCTCCGAGTGGGGACAGCAGGCAAGGACTGTCCTCTAGCCTCACCTTGTCTGGTTATGCCAAGGCAGATGTCACACTGTAGCTGCCACTGGGCCCTCTGCAAGCAGTGAGGCCCTGTGACTGCTCTCTGTGCCACCCTATACTCCCTAAGAATATGATTCCTCACTCTCCCGACTAGGAGCTGAAAGGTGGGAACAGCAAAAACAAAGCAAACCGTTTGCATCTACGCCCAGCAGTCTACCACCTTCCCCACTCTTTGCAGGGTGGCCCTTGTAAATAGTGTATATTCTCCAAATTATCCTCTAATTATAAATGTAAGCTTATTTCCTTAGATCATTATTTAGAGACTCCCGGAAGGTGAGTAGGATGACAAAGGGTTTCAGTTTGCTTCCGATCCTTGCTTTCAGTTCCTAGGGAAGGGAGGCCATGCAGTGCACGGTTTCCTCCAGACCCAAGCTACCCGCCTCAAGGGCCCTTTACTGTAGGCACCCAGACAAGAGGACCTGCTTGTCAGGGTCCCTCTGTTTGCCCCTCCCTCCCACCTACCCATGTTTCCAAGTCTGCTTTCCTGCAAGAAGAAATCCTGGTAAAAAGGTCTCGTCATGGGTCAAGAGTTGAACTGAGGGTGGGGGATGGATGCATCTAAAGCAGAGTGGAGGTGCCCAGATGTGCACCCATAAGATGTTTCTCTGATAATGTCCCTAATCATGCCAGAGAGACTCATGCTGACGAGAACTTGGCCCGAGGCTGAGAAGACTGAGGGACCCTGACCTGCCCGGCTGCCTTAGCTCACACCTCAGCTTTGCAAAGAGCCACCCTAGACCATGGCTGACCTCAAGAACACTACATAACCACCTAACAATAAATCCAGGGTGGAAGTGCTGGTCTCTGGTGTATTGGTGTCTGGTCCCTGAAGCATAAGAAGGGATGAGAGAAGCTTGTGGGTGATAATGAAGTTGGGGAAAGGGAAGGCAGGGCCAGCGTGACAAAAAATGCACTTGAAGGAGAGTGCAAAGGGCTTTAGCATGGACCACCTCCCATACCCTGCCAGGTACATGTCCTTTCTAACAGACACTGGCAGTTTTCCCAGTTCTGGTCCTGCACAGCCTGCCTCTTTTTGGGACCTCTGAACTTGCTGGTTGTTGTAGGCCTTTTAGGGATCCCCAGACAGGGAAAGGCCTATAGGGGGAACATACCCAATCCCTGGTGAACACTAGAGAATGTGGGTCTGGTTACAGGTGCTGCGTGACCATCTTCGTCCCCAATCCAAGGCCTGGAAGCCAGCCTGTCCTTTCCTCACTCTGCCCTCCTAGGCAAGTCCCTCCCCAGAAGCAGTTCACGTTACCATCTTTTGCAGTCAGAACTTAGGAGTCCTGTTCTCTGCCTATCACCTGAAAGGCCGCTGGCCTGAGAGACCGGCAAGCCCTCCCAGCAAGAGGTAAGGGCCTCCTCCCTGCATCATCACCAGGAAGCATCACCATAGCAACCCCAGCAGCAAACAATGCTGCCAGGAAGGCTTCCCTATAAAGCAGCCCCTCCTGGCAATCAGGCCCAAAAGAAGAATGGCCAGTAGTCTGAAAAGGTCACTCAGAGGGTAGAGTAATCCATCTCGTGTCAGAGGACCTTTCCTGCAGGTAGGGGGTGGGGCCCCAACTCCACAGCCTGCCTTTCTGTACATGTACCTATGGAAAGGAGCAGAGGTCCAGTACACTTTGGCAGAGAAGCAACTGGCTGCTGTGTACCATGCCTTGTTGGCTACAGAGGCCATCACCGGAACAGCTCCGACCAAGGTAATAACCACCTATTGCATCACTGGGTGGGTGGGAGACTGGACCCCAAAGCCATTGAGTGACATGGCACAGATGACTACACTGGCCAAATGGGGCACATACTTAAAACAACATAGTACCCTCTCTACTAGCCCCTTAAGAGGAGAATAACTTTTACTGGGGCCGGTGACCTATACCAGTGGAAAGCAGGAAGAACTTGCTTTTGAGCCATTGGTAGCTGAAAAGTCCTATCAGAAGGGAAAAGCTATACGTGAAGATGCTTGGTATACAGACAGCTCCAGTCGTGGGCAGCCCCCAAAGTGGAGGGCTGTGGCTTTCCATCCTAAGACTGAGAATATGGATGGAGGATGGAGAGGGGAAGAGCAGCCAGTGGGCTGAGTTGCCGGCAGTATGGCTTGTGATCACCTGGGAGCCCTCCCCTATAGCTGTCTGCACTGACAGCTGGGCTATTAGGGATTGACCCTGTGGCTACTGACATGGTACCATGCCAACTGGAAGGTTGGTCACCATCCCCTTAAGGGGCAAGAGTTGTGGCAAGACTAAGGGCCTCTGGTCAGACTAAGACAGTTACTATATATTATTTGAATGGCCGTTTGCCTTTGGCATCCCCAGAAAATGATGAAGCAGACACACTGGCCCAGGGACATTGGCTAGAAGGAAAGCCTGCCTTTGATGTGGCCCAACGGTTACATCAGTGTTTGTTGCACACGGGCAAAAGACAATGTGGGCTGTAGCCCATCAGTGGGGCTTGCCACTGACCTTGAAGAAGTTAGCAGAGTCCAGCAGGAGTGCCTTGTGTGCTCTAAGAGGGACTTACACCAAGTCCCACAGCAATATGAGACAATAGTAAATGGGCGGATACCCCTTGTCAGACAGCAGATTGACTATTGGACCTCTGCCCACATCAGAAGTATATCGGTATGCCATGACTTGTGTGGACACATCTACTGACCTGTTGGTTGCTTTTCCTGCACATCATGCAGACCAGCAAACTACTAAAAAGGGCCTAGAGTATCTCTTTACAGCCTATGGCTGACCACAGGTGATTGAGAGCGATCAAGGTACCCATTTTACTGGCCATACTTTACAAGAATGGGTGCAGCAATTAGGAATAAAGTGGAAATTTCATGTACCATATAACCTACTGGGGCATAACAGAGTGGTACAATGGTTTGTTGAAATCTGGCCTGAAGTCGGACACCAAAAATCTATGGGGCTGGTCAGTTAGTTCATGGAAAATGAGCCTTAAGCCCTGTGGACATGCTCACCCACACATTGCTGCCTCTCCTATACAACTGTATGTGCAAACTAAAGAGAATTATTGAAGCCAAGATATGGCCAGCAGAGCAACATCCTGCTGCCAGCCCCAACTGTTTTAAGCCCTGGAGACTGTTCAGTGGACATGGCCCTGGACATTTTGACACAAAGACCTGCGATGGCTGGTCCTTCTGGCACTTTGGGAAAAAGGCCTGGAAGCTGGTCGTGTGTGTATTCCTGGAGTAACAGTGGAGTGACCCCCAAAGATCACACTAGTGTACCCAAAATGTCCAGGAGGTAAGAGCATCTTATGGGGAAGTTGTTTTATCTTTATGGCCAGTGTGTGTGTACGTCCCATAGCCCTATATATTGACACCTGTAACTCCCACAGGGAGGGGGGTGAAAGGCTGGTATACTAGACCAGGATGAGGTCCCTTTCCTGCCACTATCCTATCACAGGACCACTCTCTTGCATGCATCCTACCTGATGGACAAGATTTGCCTTTGCTGGTGTCATTGAAACATGTATCTTATCACCCTTAAACTTATTTTCTATTATAGTCCCTGTGGTCTGGACCTGCCCCCTGGCTGCAGCTGTCATGTGATGATTGCTCTGAACTCCCTACCTGTTCAGCGACTGCCTGCCTGTGGAATGGGCGAGCTATGGCTTAATTTGCATAGGACTTTGAACCTAGCTGAATCCTCTCGCTTGAGGATTAACATGATTTTATTGCTGTTGCTATTGTATGCTGTTAGTCTGGTTACAATGCTCCAGTTTTCTTTCCCAGGAGCCATTGTGGAAGATGGGGAATGAGTAGACTATAATATGAGATTTCTGGAGGGGTGGGCTGTGGGTAAAATTGCAGTATTTCCAGAATCTCTTGCCCAGCCTTAGTGCATCTCCACATCAATAGGTGTTTCCAAGGGGTAGAGAGGAGTCCATCTCTATATCAGTAGGTAATTACAAGGGTGAGCAAGGGCATATCTGGACTGGAGAGGTTGAGTGGGATTCCTTTTACAGCTGGGGTGCAAGAGACATGGGTAGGCAGAAGTGGACAACTGCTTGTAAGAAATAAATGGGTTTCTCCTACTTTATTTCTCCCTTTGACTGATTTTGGTTTCAAAGGTGTTTTGTCCTGGATTTTCCCCCCTGGAGTTACAGAGTCTATTTTAGTTTTGTTTACTTGTTTATTTCATAGTTGTTTTCTTTCAGCCATTTGAATATATCACCTCAGTATCTCCTAGCCTGCAAAAGTTTTTTTGCTGAGAAACCTGCTAAAAGCCTTATGAGATTCCTTTATATGTGAAACATTTGTTCTGTCTTTGTCTTTGATTTTAGGCAGTTTTCTTACAATGTGACTTGTAAAAGACCATATTGGGTTGAAATTTTGGAGTGACCTATTAGTTCCATGAACTTATATATCTACATCTGTCCCAAGATTTGGGAACTTCATAACTGCTATTTCTTAAATAAGCCTTCAGCTCCTTTCTCCCTCTTCTCCTAGGAGTCCAAGAATGCATAGATTATTTCTTTTAGTGGCATCCTATAATTCAATAGGCTTTTTAAACTTTTTCATTCATTCATTATTATTATTTTTTTTCTCCTCTGACTGTATGATTTCAAAAGACCTATGTTGTAGTTCACAGGTCAAAATCTACTGTTGCAGCTCTCGAGTCTTTGGTGCAGGGCTCTATGTAGTCTACAGCTCTAGGATTTCTGCTTGGTTTAATGGTTTCTATTAATTTGTTGTTTATTTAATGGTTTTTATTTCTATTTCATTTTGTTTATGCATTGTTTTCCTAGTTCAATTTATTTATCTGTGTTTTCTTTTAGTTCACTGAATTTCTTTAGGAGAATTATTCTGAATTTCCTGTCAGACAGTTCAAGATCTCCATTTTTCAAGGATCTGTCTTTGGAATTTTATCAGTTTCCTGTGGAGGTGGTGTCATGTGTTGTTGCTCACTCTTGGTGTTGGGGGCTGCATTTGTGGATGTATGGACCTCTCCAGTCGTTACAGACTGTCTTTGGAAGGCAAAGCCCTTCACTAGTTAGTTCATCCCGAGACTTTGGATGGGCAATCTAGTGGTGTCCATTGGTGGACTTACTGCTGGAGAACTTGGGTGGCCTAATACTCAAAATGGTTGAAAGCCTGGGACAGGGGTGCTCAGCCCAGTGCTGGTCCCACAGGGTCCTGGGTTCACAGGTGCTCCCATGGAGCCTGGGTCGTGAGTGTTGGGGAGCCTGAGTTCACAGGAGGGGTCCCGGAGCCACGGAGACCAGCTGGTGAGGGGATATGCTGGAGCCTGCCAGGAGTTTTCTGGTGAAACTGGATTTGGGAAGTGCTGTGGTGAGCTGGGGATGTGGGTTCCTAGGAGCCCACTGGGAGTCTGATGACAAGGGCCAGAATCCTGGGGCCACTGGAGCTGCCTGGGACCATGGGAGCCTTCAGGCAATGGAGTGGGTCAGGAGCCTTGGCTCATGGGAGCCTTCTTGGAACCTGAAACTGTGGAAGATACCTGGAGCCACGGGGGACCCTGTGGCCACTGGGCTGCGTGGGGCTGCTGGGGCACATGGGCCTGGATCCTGTTCCCAGCGGCCTTCTGCAAGCCTGGGGCCAGTGAAGCTGCCTGAAGCCACCGGGGCTGGCAGGTTTCCAGGGTGAACTGGGGTCTGGTCCCCCGGGAGCCCTCCTGGAACGTGGTGCCATGGGAAATGCCTAGGACTGCAGGAGCCAGCAGGCCCCATATGCCTGGATTCACCATGGCCTGCTGGTGCCAAGGATACCCCTTGGGGCTGCTGGACATGTCAGGGGCAGTGGGGGCCTGGGTTCTTGGGAGCCTGCAGAGAGCCCTGCTGTGGGAGCTACCTGGAGCTGTGGATGGCGTCTGGGGCCTCTGGATCACAAAGCACTGAGGTGAGTTGGTTTCTTGATTTGTGGGAGCCGGCAGAGGAGTCACAGGAGTCGCCCGGGGCAGGGGCCTGGGAGAAATGAGGCCTGTGTTCCCAGGAACCTGCTGGTAAAACCCCAACAATGGACTAAATAAAGTCATCACTTTCCTGAGCTATTTGGTAGGGGGCCTATCTGGAACTGCAGGCGCTTTACTGAGTAAGGAGGATCACTCTCATAGAGGAACTGGCTAGAACTGGTTCCCAGGGCATGGGAACTAACTGAAAGTACTAGAATAACCTCTGCTTCATTAGCATGCTAGGATTCCTGCCCAGGGAGGTGCTTATCCACCATTTTTTAAATATGTTATGAACAAGCATGATAACATGCAATGCCTGCACACTAATAAGTACAGTCCCGGTCATCGGAAACACCCTGGACATTTCCCTTTCCTTAAGGAATAAATATTTTCTCTGACCCATAAACGCACTCTTCACATAATCCTGAGGAGGTAATCTGAACAACCGCTCTTGCCTTTGTGTTTGGCTGCCACAGTAAAATCCTCTTGCTACTAAAGACTGTGTTGGAGATTGGCTTTCTGTCACACAAGCAGACAAACTCACCTCTGTGCTGTTTCACCGGGCACCCGGTGTCGTGGGAGTCACCTGGTCACTGGAACTGGCAGGCACAAGGTGGGGCCTGGGTTAGCAGGAACCTGCAGGGAACCACCTGGGGCTTCAAGAGTCAGCTTGGTTCTGGCCAGGCAGCTGTGGGGTCTGTAGCGAAGGCAGGCACTCATTTCACTCTCTTTTTTTTGTCTGTCTCTCTGTAGGAGGGCCCAGGCTTGGGGGAGGGTACAGAGGGCCTGGGTTCCCAGCACCCCACTGGACGCTCTGCTATGGGAGTTGCCTGAGACCCCTGGGTCAGGCAACATCAGGGGAGCACCTGGAGTCCTTGGCTCTTGAGAAGGTATTTTCATGTGCAGGTTGTCAAATCCATGTTTGGGTGGCAGGTGGTGAGCTGACATCCCTTCTGGAGACACTTTTATTTCCTTCCAATCTGTATGCCTTTTATTTCTCTTTCTTACTGCCCCTGATAGGCCCTCCAGTAAGATGTTAAACTGGATGGGTGAGAGCAGACACCCTTGCCTCATTTCTGATCTTGGGAAGAAAGCATTCACTCTCACCATTCAGTAGGATGCTAGCTGTACTTTTTCTGTAGCTGATTTTTTCAAATTTAAGGGAAGTCTTTCAATTCCTAATTTGTAGGGATTTGTTATCATGGATGAGTATTAATTTTTTTCACATTTTTTCCCTATATTTATTGAGATGACCATATGCTTTCTCTTTTCTTACTCTGCTAATATGATGAATTACACTGATTTATTTTCTAATGCTTCCTTCAGTACTTCTATCCAGATCTCTTAAAAAGGAGGTCAGTTTGGATTGTTTGTTATATATTTCTTTTTCAGCTTGCTTTCTACTCTTTTTGTTTCTTGCTCTCTCATCCCCAAAACTGGAAGATTCCATAAGGAAAAAGATTCAGTTTCTCTTATCTCTGGTGCTCTTTGGACAATGTCCACCATCTATGGCCAGGACCTTTAGTGGGAGGGGTTGGCAGTAGGGGAGTTGAGGTACAGTTGACCTCAGGGTTGAGTCTGTGATAAATTTAAGGTTTTTCCCTAAGGCCTTCATGATATTGAGATTATGATATTTGCATTTTATAGGTCAAGAAAAGCTCCAAGGAAAATGTGCAGCAAACACACCTGCTAAGAGAACTTTTTGTTTCTGGTTTGTTACTGCTGCATGCCTAGCTGTTGTGTCTACACTTCCTATTCCTTTGGCAGGTAGTTGCTTAGTCTCCAAACTTCATAATGTTCTCCATACATTTATATTGTCAGTAAATAATTACTGAGCTTCATTACATGCCAGGCACTGTGTGGAGTTCTTGAGGTATATCAGTGAACAAAACACACAAAATTCCCTGCTCCCAGGGAACTTACGTTCTAGCAGGAAGACACGAATACTACAATAAATAGAGGTGGGGTGGAAGTGGCTGCAGTTTACTGAGAGTGGTCAAGGCAAGTCTCCTTGAGAAGATGATCTTGCAGCAAACTTTGGAAGGAGATGAAGGAGCCTTGTGGCTAGCTGGAGAAAGCACTCCCAGCGGAGAGACCATGCGAGGAGGCTGCTTTGACCAAAGCTAAGAAAGAATAAAGAAGAGTAAATGATGGGGGTCAGAGTTAATAACCTTGTAAGTCATTTCAAGATTTTGTTTTTTACTTTGAGTGAATTGGGAAGACTGGGAAGAGGGACATTGTAGGACAGGAATGTCATAACCTGACTTCCACTGTAGTTTAACTGTTATATTGAGAAAAGATTGTATGAAGAAAAGAGTAGAATCAGGGAGACCTATGAGGGCAGTCTTACAGAAATCTAGGCAAGAGATGAAGATGGCTTGGGCCTGGTATTAATAGTGGAGGTGGGGAAGGGTAGTCACATATGGGTATTTTGGAAGTTGAGTCAACAGTATTTTGTATCAGACTGGATATGAAGTTTTAGAAAGAGAAAAGTCAAAGTTAACTCTAAGGATTTTCTCCTGAACCATGGCAAAAAAGTGGTTCCCATCCTTGAGAGTAGAAAGCTGTGGGTAAAGGAATTCCATCTATGGAGCTATTTCCTGACATGTCACATCAGAATTGCCATTTTATCAAAGAAATATTCAGGTGAGATCTCTGAGTTTTTATCCTCTACCTACATAGATGCGGAATGCACAAAAGTACAGGAGAACTATATACTCAAAATAAATTCCTTTGTACATGTAGGCAATAGGTCCTCAGCATTACTTGGCGTACTTAATTAGGTCTGTTAGGAAGAAATGACTTACCAATATTAGTAAGTAACTACTATGTATATTCTGATTGTATTAGTGTAAAAGCTTTCTGTTACTACAACTCTTAAATGTGATGTAAACATTTTTGAAAACAAAATATATCCTGGTAAATTTTTTAGTTATCATCTAATATTTTTCATCAGAGATTTAACTAGTTGCAAATGATGTAATTTCCAGCACACTTTTAAATCTGCAATTTCCAGGTACATTTTTGGCATTTTATTATTAACCTGTTTCTTGTTCTTTTAAATATATCTATTGGAATCTGAATAATGCTGTGATTTGAACCCGCTTTTATCTATGTTAAGAAAAGAGAGGCATCTATGTTAAGAAAAGAGAAATATATTGTTTCTACTCTAGAATTTTATCACAGTATACTATGTAATATCTTTGTATACTTAGAAGTCACTTATCTTTTGTTAATATTTTCTTTATTTTTTCTGTCACAATATGACTTTAAAAAATTACTAATTTTTAAAAGTTATATGACAATAAGACTCTTAAAATAACATTCTGAATTAAGTTAGATTTATAATTTTTAGTAATATTTAAAAATAACTCATATATTAAAGATTTGGTAATTATCAAAAGCAAATTTATATATTTATTAATGTATGTGAATTGATCTATATGCTGTTCTCAGTAGTTTGCCATAATGCAGTGTCTGTCATATATAGCTAATCTTATGAGTTATTAGTTTGGGGATTATGACAAAAAGCATGTTAAGTTTTTAGTAAATGCCTGCACATAGTGTGTTTAATATTTGCCTTTTGAAGTAATTATATTAGAAACACTTATAAATCTCAGAAATAAATCAATTAATAAAGCTAGAAATCAAGATGAAATTTTTCCTATGAATATAATGGGAGAAAGTAGTCTAATCTAATAATCTCCCTCCTCCCTCAAAAATCTTAATTGGTCTAACAGCATCAAATTTTATTTTCAGTACTAACAAGAAGAACATGTTAAATATCTTACATGAGGACATAAGATGAAAATTGACCATAATTGGGAGTAAATATTTCATGGTATTTGATAAAATTAGTTTTAACTACTTCAGTGAAGTCTAAAAGACATCATGTAATTTACCAATGGATTTTATTCAACATAATCTAAAATATATTAGGTGATCTCCTAAAACAGTTCAGTTATATTAAAAGCAGTGATACTAACCTTGACAGCTAGCTATTCTCACTCCCTTACCCAGTGACTCACCCTAGGGATGCAGATTGAGCATATGTGTAAAGAATTGCCTACCTTTGAATATAAGAGGAAATAGAAGTCATCTTTGGTATTGAATATTTCTTACCAAATCTCATTGCTTTCACTAGACCCTCCAAGAAGCAGTGGCTTCTTTCTTAGATGTTAAAGGAGGAAAACATGAGGTTATGGGACATGACTATTCTTCCCATAGCCTACACTCTGAAATCTTGGTTTCAGAATATTCCCAAGGGCCAAAATATTTTTTGTACATATTTACCAGAAGTACATATAAAGTGGAAAACTGTTGGAAGCCCTAAATTTTATTTTGGTACTAAAATCAATTTTTGAATGATGTTATGTTTTGTCCACTGGACAGTTCTGTACACCCTGAGAAGTGCACCATAGTAACACGTAGGACAGGAAAGGAGTGGCCTTTTTTTTATCATGAGGAAAAGCTACTATTAAGGAAGAAGTGGGAAAGAAGAGTCTCTGTGATAATAGGAAAGAGTATTGCAGAGCTACAGAAGTTGATGCTGTAGAAGTTGGTTTCCTTAAAACCATTAGTGCCCATATACTGCTTGGGAAGTCAGATATACAACCGCCTCACTTGAAGACCACTGGACTGATGACACTGTGCTCAGGGTAAGATGCAGTGATGAATTCAGAAAGCAATAATCAAAAGTATATACTTCAAAACTGACCTTGGATGGTAAATGGAAAAGTAGGTAGAAAAAATTTATTTATTATAATTATTTGTGATTGTCCAACTTTTAGGGAGAAAGTCAGAGCTGGTCTCAAAGTACCCTGTGTATGCTACCTGCCCCCAAACATGGATTGGATTTGGAAATAAGTGTTTTTATTTTTCTGAAGAAACAGGAAATTGGACATTCAGCCAGACCTTTTGTGCCTCTTTAGAAGCTTATCTTGTTCAGTTTGAAACTGTAGAGGAACTGGTAAGCAATATTTTTGTATCATGTTCTCTGTTGAATACTTAGCTCCCTTAAAGGGATAGGCTGCACAGGATTTAAACTGAAAGGTAAGGAAGGATCCCATGTCAGGCAGACTGAGGGCCATGGGATGCACACTAGTGCCTAACACTTACTTGTTTTCTTTGTCTGCAACCCTGAGAGGCATTTTAGATACATTCTCTCAGGTAATCCCCATAGTTAACCTGCAAGATTAGATGTATTGTTCCCATTGTACTAAAAAGTATGGTAATCATATAATTTATCATCCAAATGGGGACATTTTAGGGAATTAAAGTGACGATATTAATATGATGCTAGAACAAAAGGCATAACTAGGATTTTCCCAGTCAAACTGGGAATGGAACATGACTTTCAATAAAGTAATTTAAGATCACAGAGACACTGAATGACTTTAGCTAAGAATTAGGGCCTAGTGTAACTCCAATGACTACACTAAACTTCCCAATTATATCATGCTATGATCCCCAAACAGAAGGCTGTAGAGAGGAGAGACTCAAGAGTATTATGAGAGAAAGATACATGTTTTTGATTTCTGTGCCTCATAACAGAATTTCCTGAAAAGATACAAAGGTCCTTCTGACCACTGGATAGGCCTCAGAAGAGAGTCATCACATCACATTTGGAAATGGACACACAACCCTGAATACAATGTCTCGTAGGTTTTGAGGCTTCTTTTCCTTCTCCTGTTTATATGTGGTTATGAATGTGAATTGTGCTTATGAGACAGTAAATTTAGTATCATGGACTGCTTACTGCACTAGGGCATAAGACATATAAATCCTATTTATGCTTTTCATTTATTAGCTGTGCCTTTGGAAAAACTACTTATTGTGATTTCAGTTGAAATCTTTAACATGATTGATGACATAATTTTTATAGTTTCACCCAATGATTTAAACTTTTCTCTGCTGAAATTTAGAATGTAGAGAGAACAGCTGATGCACAGCAAGGGTTCTAAAATCCTAGAAAGCCACTGATGAACTGATACCCACAAAACTCTTGAGCCCACTCTTCCAGCTGCTTGCATCCATTCATAAAAATATCTTCTGGGAACCAGTGGGGAATCTCTCCTGAAGTTGTATCACCAGAAAGAATTTAGTAACCGTTTCTTGGATTGTGAACATTTCCATGGAGTATTTTGGATTAAACGTTACAATGGAGCAGATAAAATGTAGGGGGCCCAGTCACTTCCACCAATCAAAGCTAAGCCCTTTAGGAATTTACCAGCAAGAAAATATTTTTATTTCCACACATTTATGTAACAGTTCAGAAGAAGACTGAAAATAATCTTCACTGAAGGCTGCCAATGGCAGCAGTTTGTTTGAGGACAGCAGCAAGCACTGATTAAATACCTAATCAATAATACACACTGCGTTCGGTATGGCTGAATGAAGAGATCTGTGATATGCAAGCAGGGCCTTGAGATGTAGAAGGAACTGAATACAGGAATGGTGTATATTATTGTGAAGCCATATAAGAGACATGTTTTTATTTTTACTGTTCTCTTATTCACATTAAACACCTGGAGTGGACGTGCTGAAGATGTTAGTGGAGGAATGAGTGCAGGGGTTCAATCGATGGATATTTAATACTCGGTGTTTGGTTTTAGGTTTGTCATCAAAGGAGGTGGGGAATGCGCTTACCTGAATGATAATGGAGTCAGTAGCGCCAGGGTCTACACAGACAGGAAATGGATTTGCAGCAAACCGAGTAACGTCTACAGATGCCAAGTTACTTCCAGGTCTTTCTGGGTAATTACCACTGTGGGGGACCATAACATTTCACTTTTATTTTACAAAGCCATCCCTGAGGAATATAACACAAGGATATGGAAGAACCTGATTCTAAATTATATGTTTTAAACTGTATGAGTTGATATTTGTATTTAAAACCCTGAGTATAATCAGTATCAGTGAACTCATCTTTTCTGTAGACATCCTTTCTTTGCCTAAAAATGACCATGTTGGCTGACACCATCCAAAATGATTTCAAAAACTAATGAGAGAAGTTACAATTGGTCTGAGACCTTTAAAAAATTATGTTAACATATTCAAAATTCTCTTATTATCAGTTATAAATATATAGGGAAATTTAAAAAGCACTAAAACTAATATTTATTTTGTATTCTTTTAAAACATTAGAAATACTGAAAAATACTTTTTATGCTTTCTCAGTGCTTATATTTTAAAGTGTGCTAAGTAAGTTCTATACCTATAAACAAATACTATTCTTTATTTTACTCTTTATTGTATTAAAAATCTTGCCTTTAATATCAGATTAATCACAAAGAGTTAATTACTCAAACTCTTTACGTATTCAACACCCAATCACAGAACAACTGAATTTTATTCAATAGATGACTGAGTTTTAGAAAAAAATGTTTTAAATGTAGCACTCTACTGATGAGTCCTCAAAGGAATGAAATAACAATTTACAGTGCATCCTTTCTTTATATTCTGTACTTCCATTTCTACTTAATTGATGTACTGTCACTAAATCTTCTATAAATTGCCAAATTTTACTGTATATATTTTACATATATATTATTAAATAATTTTGTTTTATGATTTAAAGCTTTTTTTCAGTGAGTAATAACTTTATTTAATCCTAATAATGCTTTTTGCCTTGCAATCCATTTTATCTCAGGTTTCCTAAGAGTTGGGGACTATTTCTAGTTCCTGTCTCTATCATAAGAAACTAGCACAATGTCAAATACAGGGTGTGTTCAAAACTGTGGCTATGCCTTTATGACTGTGAGACTCTGCCCTATTTTCTTCATTTCTGTTAACTTTCCCACAAAGAAGCTAAATTTCTACAGAACTCTGAAAAGCAAAAAATAAAAACAAAAAAATGGGCAAAAAAACTAAACCCAAGATTTCATATTGATAAACTGTGTGTGACTGACTCACAAATAAGATTTCAGTCAAACTGTTCTAACAGAGAAAAAAAGCGAGCATCTCTGCATTCATATGGTATCTGTCTCCTTTAATGTCTTAATCTTTGGGTCAAAAGACTTCTACTAAGCCCTGCAGCCCTGCACACAGGCTTGTTAATCATCAAAAAGTATTTTGTTCACAGCTTAACACTGGTGCAATCAGCTCCTTACCTGAAGCTCACCACCTGACAAGGAGACACGGAAGTGTATGTACAGAAACAACTGGATCGTTGAAGCCTCGTAGGAACATCATGGCCAGACCTGCATCAACAAGAGAACTGGAGTCAACGAACCAAGGACAAAGAGTTTCACAAGCCTCCTCAGACCCCTGCTTATGTCCAGATGTCTGTGGTTGACCATTACTTCCTAATCACAACCATCCCCTGTTCTGCTTTCCTGATTTAAATAAAGCCTAAACTGAAATAGATCTTTGTATTAGTAAGCCATCTTGGTCTCCTGGCTTTCTGCATAAAGATGCTTTTCTTGGCCCCAACACCTTGTCTCTTCACTTACTGGCGTTTTGTGCAGCAAGTGGCACGGGCTTGGTTTTGGTAGCACTGTGACCCTAATTGGCCTAGGGCTTTTACAAACTAGCTTCCAAGCCTTATATTTAAAGTGTGGATTTCATTTCTTGCCAACTATGACCTGGATAAATTAGCAAGCTGCTCAGAGTTTCTTAATATGAAAGGTGAGCATAAGAATACCAGTTTCACTGGCTAGTTGTAAGATCAAATGAGGTAACAGATGAAAGTCTGTTGCCAGTATATTGCTCATAGTAAATGTGCAATAAATTGTTGTTTTTCCTTTATAACTCTAAAGAAAAGTAAACATAATAGCAATAGTTCTGCTACCGGCATGGGAACTTGTAAGAGACGTTAAGTTCACTGCCATTTTCTTGCTGCTCCCAGAAGAAAATCAGTGAGCTGTTTAAATGGGTTTCTATCAGATTAATTTCCAATGCTTCAGTGGAAACCACTATCAGTTGAATTCATCATTCAAAGCATATGTCAGAAACATTTCTTCACAAGAACAAACCTGCAAAAGTACATGGTTTATAACAAAGGGAAAAAACTCTACATAATTTGAGACTTACCCATTTTTCCACTTTAAATGCATTCTGATTCATTCATAATGTTGCAACCAAAGTGATCATTCCAATCTAAAATATGGTCAGGTCACTCCCTTGTATAAAATCCTTCAATGACTCCTCATTTGCTCTCAGTAAACCCAAACTACTAATGGTAACCAAGGTCATACACTAAAATTATGTCTCTGCTTTCCTTTCCATCTTTTTTTGCCTTTCTCTTCAAAATCCTTCCCTCTCTCTGCTTAGATTTGACATAGACACAATAAATGAATAAAAGAAATATACCAAGTAAGTTTCCTGCTAGTGGATAGTATCCCAGCTTGTAGAAGGGTCCCAGAAAGTGCAACTTGTCAAGCCAGAGCTTGTACAGAAACTCCATGGTGTTCATGTCCATTGGAAATAATACAGTTGTCCCCTTATCTGTGGGTTTTCTTTCCACAGTTTCAGTTATCTGTGGTCAACTGAGGCATGCAGACAATCTTCCTGACATACCAGCAAAAATGTCAACAGTAGCCTAACTCTACAGCACAATGCCTGCGTTGTTCATCTCAGTTCATCGTTTCATCCATTTTATCACCTCACATCATCATGAATAAGGGTGAGCACAGTCAATAAACTATTTTGTGTGTGAGAACAAGAGCATATTCATATAACTTTTTTACAGTATATTGTTATAATTATTTTATTACTGAAGTTAATCTCTTATTGTGACTAGTTTATAAATTAAACTTTATCATAGGTATTATACATAGGAAAAAAAACAGTATATATGGGGTTCAGTACTATCCGGTTTCAGGCATCCACTAGGTGTCTCACAATACATCCCCACAGATTAGGTGGGACTACTGCATAGCAGTTTTAGCAGCTCTAGAAGCACTCAGGGCACAGCCACCCGTGGGAAATTACAACTACAGCCATGTCAGCAGCTGCAGTTCCAAAGACCCAAATCACAGTGGAGAGGATGAAGGCTCTGAAGGAGCATATCAGCTCTGGAGCAAATCAGTTTTTACGCGACCATAGACAGCCAACTGGGCGAGCTCATCCTTAGTCTTAATTTAATCATCATTTTACATGAATGATCTTTCTATTAGGTCATAGCTCCCCATGTTTTTTTTAAACAATTAGTTGTGCTTATTTGGGGTCTTTGGGATTGCAATGAGGGGGACACTGATTTAGGTAGCGGCCCAAATTATGCTCCAAATTGCTGACAAAGTTTAGGGTTTTTAAAGGTAAAAACTGGAAAGTTAGTCATTTTCAGTAGTTGGTTTTGTTTTGTTTTTTTTCACCTGGCCTAGAATTATTTATTTTTATTTAAACATTTTTTAAATAATTTCCTATCTTGTGTTCTCATAGTCATTATTCCCCCAACCTAAAGCTTAGTACACTGTGTTGCTATGATTTACTCGATTTTCTCATTTCCCAATGAGAATGTAACTACATGCGGGGAGAGGCCACAGTGACTTTTCCTTCACTATGTCTCAGTACTTCATGCAGTCCCTGACAGATGGCAGGAACTTAATGTCTATTAAATGAATTAATCTGTTTGAATACATTTTGCTCTTAATAGTTTGTGTTGATTGTGCTTTAAAACATATAGTCTTTCTGAATCATGGAATATATTTAATGGTTGTCTGAGTTTCTTGACTTTGAGTCACAAAAAGTACAGCCATGACACAAACTCTCCAGAAAATAAACTGGAAATATTTGAGATAAGGAGTATCTACTCTATGGCACAGCAATGATGCAAGTGATATTCAAACACATTAATTATACTAATGTTCTGAATATGAAAAAAATAAACTGAAAATAGACTTTGTTCTTTGTGCTATGGAAATGAATGTATAATGTATGTACAGCTATTACTTGCAATGTGTGAAAGAAAGTAGGTGCTGGCATTTAAATCTTTTCTGTGGGTACCCCAAGCAGGATGTCTCACTTTGCAAGTTGGGTGCTTTTAATATTCTAGTCAGAAAGGAAAAAAGATGGTGGCATGAGAAGTGTGGTGGAAATCTCCTCCCAAAACCACATACACTTTGAAAATACAGCAAGTACAACTATTCCTAAAAGAGTGACCAGAAGTAAGAGTACACCAGCCAGTCTACATCTGGGAGAAGCGAACATCTCACAGAAAAGGGTAAAGTAAAAAAGCTGCAACCAGGCGGGACCCAAGCACTCCTCCCACTCCAGCTCACTGGTGGGAGGAAGAGAATCAGAGCAGGGAGGGAGTGGAAGCACAGGACTGCTAAATATCCAGTCCTAGGAATCTACCCTGGGAGCACAGACCCACACTGCATGGTGTGCTCTGGAGATTAGAGGGGCTGAAAACACATGGCAGTATAGGGGTTAACCCAGAGGCCGCTCCCAGTGCACAGTTAACTGGCACAGACAGTGGAGACAGGCATGGCGAACAGGAAGCACAAAAGGGCTTTGTCCTCACCACAGACACATGCACGACTTGCCTAAAACCCCTGCCACCATGCTAAGCCATCCTCAGGGCCACCCTGCCCACAGCAGCTTAGGGGATCAATGCAGAGGCTGCTTCCTGTGCACGGTTAACCGGCACAGACAAGCACTGCGACTGGAAAGCAGGAAGGGACTTTGTTGTCATAGCTGACACCCATGCCACTTGCCTGTGACCACTCCCATTGCTCCAGGACTATGAGAAGGCAGAAGAACCTTGTTCAATCAAAAATACCTCAAACACCAGAAAGACAGCACGGTGAGACTGAAATAATCAATCTTTCTGAAAAAGAACTCCAAATAAAAGTCATAACCATGCTGATGGAGCTACAGAAAAATATGCAAGAGCTAAGGGAAGAATTCAGGAGGGAGGTAACTGACATCAAACAAACAATGGAGATATTTAAAAGCAGATTAGATGAGGTGGAGGAGACAGTTAATGGAATAGAAGTCAGAATATAGGAATACAGAGAAGTTGAGGCAGAGAGAGATAAAAAGATCTCTAGGAATGAAAGAACATTAAGAAAACTGTGTGACCAATCCAAATGGAACAATATTCACATTATAGGGGTACCAGAAGAAGAAGAGAGAAAAAGGGATAGAAAGTGTCTTTGAAGAAATAATTGCTGAAAGCTTCCCCAATCTGGGGAAGGAAATAGTCTCTTAGTCCACGGAAGTCCATATATCTCCGAACATAAGGGACCCAAGGAAGACAACACCAAGACACATAATAACTAAAATGGCAAAGATCAAGGACAATGACAGAGTATTAAAAGCAGCCAGAGAGAGGAAAAAAGAAAACCCATCAGGCATCATCAGACTTCTCAGCAGAAACCTAACGGGCCAAAAGGGAGTGGCATGATATATTCAATGCAATGAAACAGAAGGGCAAAGAACCAAGAATACTCTATCCAGCAAGATTATCATTTAAATTCCAAGGAGTGATTAAACAATTCCCAAATAAGCAAAGTGGAGGGAATTTACCTTGCACAAACCATCTCTACAGTGTATTTTGAAAGGACCATTCTAGATGGAAGTGCATCTAAGGCTACATAGCTGTCACCACAGAAAATAAAACCACAGCAAAGGAAGTAGACCAATTATATACTAACCAAATGCTAAATTAAATCAGCTACCCACAAGTCGGTCAAGGTATACACAAAGAGTACAGAATAAGATATCCAAAATATAAAGAGAGGAGGAGAAAGAAAAAGAAGGGAGGAGAAAGAAAAGAATCTTCAGATTGTGTTTATAATAGCATAATAAGTGAGTTCAGATAGCTAGATCATAAAGAAGCTGCCCTTGAACCTTTGGTAACCACGAATCTAAAGCCTGCAATGGCAATAAGTACATATCTATTGATAATCACCCTAAATGTAAATGGACTGAATGCGCCAATCAAAAGACATAGAGTTACAGAATGGATAAAAAAGCAAGACCCATCTATCTGCTGCCTACAGGAGACTCACTTCAAACCCAAAGACATATACAGACTAAAAGTGAAGGGATGGAAAAAGATATTTCATGCAAACAATAGGGAGAAAAAAGCAGAAGTTGCAATACTTGTATCAGATAAAACAGACTCCAAAACAAAAAGTAACAAGAGACAAAAAAGGATATTACATAATGATAAAGGGCTCAGTTCAACAGGAAGATATAACCATTATAAATATCTATGCACCCAAGATACGAGCACCCAAATATGTACAACAAATACTAACAGAATTAAAGGGGGAAATAGAATGCAATGCATTCATTTTAGGAGACTTTAACACACCACTCACTCCAAAGGACTGATCAACCAGACAGAAAATAAGAACACAGAGGCACTGAACAGATGGACCTAACATCTAC